TGAATCATCAAACAACAAAAAGACATAGAGAAGGGGTGCCTGGGTGGCTCAGTGGGTTAAGCCTCTGTCTCTTGGTCTCGGCTCAGGTCATGATATCATCGTTTGTGGGTTCATACCCCTCATTGGCCTTCGCAATGACAAGGCAGAGCCCGTTTGGGATTCTCCCTCTCTCCCTCTCCTTCTACCCCTCCCCCATTGGCACTTGCTTTCTCTCTCTCAAAATAAATAAATAATTTAAAAAAAGACATAGAAGAAAGTCAAATGGATGTTGTTAAGTTACAAAGCCAGTATGAAAAAGCTGCGTATTATGTGATTCCAGTTACATTATGGAAAATGTAAAACTGCGGAGGCAGTAAAATGATTGGTGGTTGCCAGGGTGGGGCAAGGGGATGAATAAGTAAGGTACAGGGGATTTTTAAGGTCTTAAAACTTTCCATATAAAACTGTAATGATGGGGGCACCTGCGTGGCTCTGTTGGTTAAGTGTCCAACTTCAGCTCAGGTCATGATCTCACAGTTCATGGGTTTGGGTCCCACGTCTGGCCCTATGCTGATGGCTCAGAGCCTGGAACCTGCTTCGGATTCTGTGTCTCCCTCTCTCTCTGCCCCTCCCCTGTTCACGTTCTGTCTCTCTCTGTCTTTCAAATAAATAAATAAATAAATAAATAAATAAATGTTAAAAAATTAAAAAAAAAACTATAATGATGGACACCTGGCATTATGCATTTTTCAAACCTGTAGAACTTGACAGCACAAATAGAGAGTTTCAATACATGAAAATCTATTCTGAATTTAAAAAAAGTTACTTAGGATCCCCTGGAATCTCAGGAAGAAAAGCAGACTGCGGCAAAAATTCAACTGTATTATAAACACATGAAAAGCTCCCTGAAGGAAGTAGGAGGAAGGGACTCCTGACCGGTGTTAACTTTTCAAATGAGTAGCAGCTATAAGACTGAAGGTTGAAGGGGTTGCTAGTAACCTTTGTGCTCTGGTTGATGAAGTTTATCCCATTAGGATATGGCTTAACAATTCTCGTAACTATCTGTGTGCCCTGAAGTTGAACAATAAAGTAAAGAAATGAATGAACACTGGATGACGAGAGCCAGGCTCCTCACTACTGGGGAATATGCAGATAAGCGAGGGGGGTGAGAGCCTCGAATTGTCCATATGGATCACTGGAGAAGTCAGTTTTAACTCGTGTTTTGTTAAATACAGATACAGATGATTCCACACAGAAATATGTATAGACATGTGTACATGCATGGGCTAGTCTGAACTGAGAGTGAGGAAAGAGATGATATCCTAGTAGCAAAGAACCCATCAGATCTTGGATTCTAATGTCATTTTCCAATAACAAGTTCCAGGACTATTTGGAGAAATGACTGATTCTAGGACTGGAGCAGAAGAATAAGCAGGATGAGCCTGGAGCTTTATGTAGGGCCAGAAATTAAGGAAGTGCCAAAAAAAAAATATCCCATTGAAGGGCACGTCATTTTTTTTTTCCAGATATTTTGCTTATGTTGAGCCAGGCACAGTGCTAGCTTCTTGCATTGATTTTCTCTTTTAATCGCAATGATTAGCAATTTCCAGGTATGCAAATTGGATAGTTTACCTGGATCATTATAAGGTCCGTCATAGTTCAAATCAGTTACAGAACTAGGAACCGAACAAACATCTGTAGAAGTCCCAATTTACCTTTTTTGAAAATAAGCCCTGAGGCTCCTCTACCGGGAGTCTCCCATTCAGACTCATTAAGATATGCCTGTGATAGTAGCAAAACCAAGGGTCGTTTGTATGTTCAGGAAGTGTAATCAACTTTTTAAAGGCAGAATGAAATTTTACTGTGCCTCTGAGTTAAGGTGTGTTGTAATTTGGGGGACAGATTCCACATTTGTGGCAATTCAAGACTGCCTTTTAGCAAAATTCATCATGTGATAAATTACATCTTGGTACTGAAGTAGCAAACCAGTAACTGTTAGGTCATAATAAAGAAATATCACGGACAACGGAAGAATCTGATTCACGCATCCCGAAAGGCTATTGTCCCTAATTCTGTACAGGGTTTGATACCAAAATACCAAAGATGGAATTGACAACAACTAAGAGCAGCCATGATCTCTGTGATACATGAGCTGCGCCCACTGATGCTTCCTCATAGAGCATCAAGCAATTGTACTCACAAGTGGGTACTTGCTCATGCAAATTAATGGTAATTACAAAATAAATCATAACCGCCGCCAAAAAACCCCCTAGATTCTTCAAATTATATCTAATACATGATCAATTGTTAGTTGATGATTTTCAAAATATTACAAAGTGCTTTTTGAGATAAAGCTTTCCTTCACGATTTTAAATACTGCAGATTTATTTATTCCCAAATCTCTTAAAGATAGTTAATATGGAACAGTGGAAATAACCATGAGACTATCTTCTGCACAATTGGTGTATCAATAGGGACAGATGTTCCTCTCTGGATTTATGCCACCTATACAATTTTAATTGCCTTTAAAAATAGTTTTAAGCATTGATGCTAGAAGCAAAGCCAAAGTTGGCGGTGAGAGTGTTATGCAGATTCACTTGAGCGTTTTAGACACCGCCTGTCAACAACCATCTTACATTTTCCACTTGGAAAATTATCTTCCTGATAATCACATAAAGAAAATATCTATCAATATTTAATTATTCTACCTTGAAACATGATTTAGCTGCCTTCACTTGAATTTCATTTTCAAAAACACAAAATTAAAGATTAATTAATATGGAACTCTTATTAACTAATCAGAATTCCAAAAAAAGGAGTTTGGTGGTACTTCTCTTCTCCCTTTGGGTCAGTGATTTAATGATATAGGAGGCTATCAAGTGTTTTTCTTTTATTTTTATTTTAGATTCTAACACTATTGAGCTTCTTGCGCATAGTGATACACCATACGGAAATTTTTTTTCTTTTTCTGTAGTGCAAAAAATAAAAAATGAAAACAAAAACAAGTGGTCAAGTGTAGGTCTAGATAACGCTAGGTACAATGAACCTAATTTGTGGTGCTTTGAATATTTGCATTATCATCATCATTACTCTTTTAAGTTATTTTCGTGTTTCCTGTATTTAAAGAATCCTCCTCCCGGCTTGTTTCTTTTTTTTTTTTTTTTTTTTTTTTTTTTTTTTTTTTTT